GTTTTGGGGGAGGGTGACAAATAGCAGGTGGTGAAGTAGTATAGATCTGTATGCAAGCGACAGTTCTGGGGGAGTGCCACCTTCACGTAACCACCTGAGCAGCAAACCAGGAGTGGTATGTAGCAGTGTGTTACACCCCATCCAAACCTGGCAGGAGGCAGTGACACAGAGCTATGCCCTGGTCCAAAGGATGAGCACATTAACACCTCTTAGATTCAGTTCAGACACCTAACATGTCTGGAATTTCTTGCCTCTGTAGCCTGTTTTATCTGCTGCTTTAGTAGTTTTTTCTCCCTCCGGTGAAGCTCATATGGCAGGAGCTGGGGCTGATGTGTGGGTGACTGCTCTGGTCTGAAGGGCAGAGCTGTAGGATGGGTGTTGAGTGACTGTGGGAGATGCTGAACTTCTGACTGCAAAGACTGAGCACATCTTTTGCCCAGAGGTGCATCTAGAACTTCCTTGGCTGCCTGGGATCAACCATGTTGTTATCAGCTGAAGGTGAAGAAGAAATTCCCTCAGACAGGGCTTCTGCCAGTGGCAGCAGGGAAGGGTGGCAGGGGCCTGGCTCCGAGAGCACAAGTGCATCGCTGTCCTTGGGGCATTAAAACCCACCTAAGGTATCTCCTGTAATGATCAGATGATCCTTCCCCTGACAATGGCTGCAGAAATCGGGGAGGAACTGGTTGCAAGCATAGAGCATGGGAGATAAGAACTAGCAAAGACAGTCTAGGTCATCCCTGCTATCTCTCTGAACCTGGGTTTGGTTTTGCCTATTTGTGGCAGGTGTTTCTGGCTTGTGTTTGCTTGTGGCAGGTGTTTCTGGCTCCTCCTTTATGTGTGGAGCAAGTATAAAAAACACCTGTGGTGCATTCCTTTCCCTCTTGAGAGGCTTTTCTGCACGGGCTGGTGCATACAGAAAGTCAGCAGTTTGCTCCATGAGCCAGCCCTGTGTTGCCTTTGGAGGGGAGGGCTCGATACAGTGCTCTGGGACCTCTTCAACATCTTGCTCCCTGCTGGCCAGGCTTTGCAGACCCTGTGCTGGCTGTTTCCTAGACAATTTACCAAGATCAGTACCTGGGTAATTTGCTACCTCTTTGTCCCTTTGTGCACACCTGCTTGTGCCTTCCTTTTGTGCACTGCTTCTGCATGCAGAGGGTGACTCACAGCATAGCTGGCAGCCGGCAGGTGACAAGAGCAGCCTGCTTAAATGGGTCCAGTGGTTTGTGCATGTGATGGAGGTTTTGAGGAGGGTGAGGATGGCGAGTGACCTTTTTTTTTTTATTTTCTTGGCAGCTTTATAAAATAAACAGGAGTTTTCAAAAGCGTTCTCTGCGTAGTTTTGCTTCTCTTTCCTGTTGGAATAAAAGTACCAACTGGTGAGAGCCTTGTGAAAATCTGGGTTTTTTGTTGTCCTACCTGCTTACCGGAGGGAAAATGGGGATGGGATTCAGCAGTTTCTTAAAGAGTTACAGCCTTCCACTTAAAAAGAGAAGTGTCTCTTGCCTAGTTTATGAACACATACAAACAAATCCCATAAACACATGAAAAACATCATCTTTTTTTACACTGCAATCTTCTAAAGTTCAGATTCAAGCTGTAAGAAACAGCATTGGCATTAAAAGAAGGAAAGTGTCTTGGATTTTGCCTGCTGTTCTGTTTTATGCAGCAATTTCTTTTATTCCGCCTTCAAAACTGCATTTGTTTCTCCAAGGAGCTTACAGCAGTACTGGGCCTCAGGTGTGGTGGACCAGGAGAACAGCAATTATGAGAAAGGGGGAAGATGTAAGCTGCTAAGTAGTGGGTCTTTGCGTCTGGGTAATAGAACTAAAATGTCAAAGGGTTGAAGTCAGACACTGCTGAGTGGTTGATATGTAGGGTTTGGATCCTGGCTATAGTAGCCTTGGGTGCCAAAAGAGATAGGAAGTCTTTCCCCTTTCCAAGTGGTATCAGCCCAGCCTGGAAGATGAGACCCCCACAGTATTCATTCTGGCATTCCCTGCTGTGGTTGAGCCTCCCGTTTTCTGCTTACACAGGGAATTTACCAAACACTTCCCAGGCTAGCAGGTGAGAAGTGGTGATTGTTGTCAAACTGTAAGAGTGTTTTAAATTGGAGGCTTTTTCATTTTTTTTTTTTCATCTCCCAGAGAGAAAACATGAGTTAATAAAACCTTTTCTTGCAGCCAGTTAAGTACAGTGAAAGTCATGACCACGCCATAATCTCTGATCAGCTTGTTGCAATTTAGGTGCTTGTCTCAGAGCTTGTTTGATTTAGTCATACTCTGGAGAAATGTCTGCTGAAAAGAGCTGCTGTGTGAATCAGGGCCTTGGGGAACAGCCATGAAATAAATGGTAGAGCAGGTGCTGTACTGTACACATCTGCTACTAGCTGCAAAACATGACAGGAGGAAATTTTACTTCCCTGGAACATGTGAGTGCCCAGTAGACGTCAGGAAGGTGTTAAAGCATAAATTGTTATGGAGAGGGGGCATAAAACAGCTCTAAAAGGCTGGTGAGTCCAGAATCAAGTGTGCAGCCTGGCAGCAGTCTCAGCCGGAGACGTAGCTTGGGGGACAGGCGTGAGAACTCACGTGTCTGCATCCCTTGAGAGGTCTCTTTGCTGATGTCTCCATGAATGTGCTTGGCAGCTACACCAAACATGCCCTGTATACAGCTGCCCAGGCTGTGGATACTCCCTAGGATTTTTTTTTTTTTCCTGTTTTGTAAATAGCAGAGACTTTCTGATAGGCTGTGTTTGATGCTCTATAGGAGACAGTGTCCTTTGTCAACTGTATGCCATATGACTGGATTAGTGTCTGTTACTCCCTAAAGAAGGAAGAGGGAGTCTGGCTCATTAGTAGAGGTTGGGACAAACACATGTCACTTTCCACGAGGCAGAAGCCTGGGGCATTTGTTGTTCCTGTATCAATCTGGACTTCTGCTTTTGTGTGTCCTGCTCTTTGACTGTAGTGATCCCTAGAGACTTTCTTAGCAGTGAAATCTCATAAAATGCAGTGCTGCACGGAGCAGGTGCTCATTTTCAAAGGTTGTGACCCAATATTGTAGGCATTTGGGCCACAGAGCGAAAACTGTGTTTCCCTAAGCCAGGTTTTTGCTGTTTGAAAATCTCATTCAGCCAGATGGGGGAGAAATGCTATTTCTGAAAAAATGGGGCAGCAACTGGGGAAAGTATGCAGCCACTATCCCTTTTATTTGAAGTAGTTTTCTGGCTCAAAATGTAAGAGGTATTTTGATCATAGTAGGAAGATAAGAATGAGTCAAAGAATAAGAGGGGGGCTTTGGCCAAATAGTTAAGAAACGTAATGACTTCTAATAGAAAACACTGGGTGACCCCAGGCAACCAGCATCAGCATCAGCTTGTGTAGAAAAAAGGAGGTGTGTCTAATTCTGCTGGAGTGTTGGCAACATGGTGGGAGAAATACTAGCTCTTTCTTTTGCTTTCTTCCTGCACAGTGGTCTTAAAATGTCTTGATAGGCTTCATCTAAAAATTAAGCAAAATGCCTGCAAATTGGCAGAAATGCCCTTTGGCTGTTTGCCTTTGGTACAGAGCTCCTTAGGTTTTCACAGGCAAGCTGGTATGGTGAAGTCTTGGCCTCCATTAAAGTAAATGACAAAAAGGTCTCACTGAGTGTCGGAAATTAAGTTGAACCTTGAATTTCAGGGACTGTTAGATGAGTGTGAAAGTGACTGGACGATCACATCCAGAGTGTAGTGGTCAATGTCTCTTGAGTCCTGATGGACATCAGTGACAAGTGGTTTACCTCAGGGGTCTGTACTGGGACCAGTGTTATAATATCTTCATTAATGACATAGACAAAGGGATTGAGTGCAGCCTCAGCAGATCTGCAGATGGCACCAGGCTGAGTGGTGCAGTTGACATGCTAGAAGGACAGGATGCCATCCAGAGGGACCTGAAAAAGTTCAAGAAGTAGGCCCTTGCGAATTTCATGAGGTTTAACAAGACCGAGTTCATGGTGCTGCACCTGGGTCAGGGCAACCCCGTGTATCAAGACAGGCTGGGGGATGAACAGATCGAGAGCAGCCCTGCTGAGAGGGACTTATGGGTGCTGGTGGGTGAGAGGCTGGACATGGCCCAGCAAAGTGCACTCACAGCCCAGAAAGCCAGTTGTGTCCTGGGCTGCATCCAAAGCAGCGTGGCCAGCAGGGCAAGGGAGGAGATTCTGCCCCTCTGCTCTGGTGAGACCCCTTCTGTAACACTGCACCCAGCTCTGGGGTGCTCAGCACTGGAAGGACATTACCCTGTTGGAGCGAGTCCAGAGGAGGACCACCAAGATGATGAGAGGGATTGAGCACCTCTCCTGTGAAGAAAGGCTGAAAGAACTGGGATTATTCAGCCTGGAAAAGAGAAGGCTTTGGGGTGACCTAATTGCAGCCTTCCAGTACCTGAAAGGAGCCTGCAAGTACTTTTTACAGGAGCAGGTAGTGACAGGACAAGGAGGAATGGCATCAAACTGAGAATACAGTTAGATTAGGTATTAGGGAACAATTCTTTACTGTGAGGGTGGTGAGGCACTGGAACAGATTGCCCAGAGAAGCTGTGGATGCTCCATCCCTGGAAGTGTTCAAGGCCAGGTTGCATGAAGCTCTGAGCAACTTGGTCAGGTGAAAGGTGTCCCTATCCATGGGAAGGGTGTTGGAAGTAGGTGATCTTTAACCCTTCCAACCCAGGCCATTCTATGGTTCTCCAATTTTCAAAAGGCACAAACCACAAACCCCAAAAACCTGCTTGAGGAAATGACTGTAGTCTTAAAACCTGCATTTAGGATATTTTCCATAGGTGAGGTTTCTGCTCCACATTTCTGCATTGACGTGAGCAGATATGGTACTTTCTTGGTCAAAGGCAGCTTCCTTGCTGATATTAGTTGGGTACCTTTCCTCAACATATGTGTATATTTCTTCAACATATGCATGTGTGACAGGGGTCAAGCAATAATTCCATCTCATTTCTCTCCCTTTGCAGGCCCTCTACAATTCAATCAAGAATGAGAAGCTGGAATGGGCAGTGTAAGTATACTGTGTAGAAATTGGGAGTTTAAAAATAGTACCTGTGTAGTAATCTGTTTATCCCTCCTATGACACCATCTGTGTGGGCTCCAAAGTCTGTAGCAGATAGCCAGTGTATGTAATGAGTTTGATTTTCTGGTAATGAATGATCTGGCAATACAGACTCATCTGTTTCTCCAGCAAGGGGAGTTGTTAATGATAGGAGCCAACTGCATTTGTAAGGAAAGAGGACATTTCATTTAGCAGGAAACTTCAGCCTGAAAAGAGAGAAATTAAATCCTCTGTTGTTCTATGACTGCATAAATAAAACAGAAGTTGACTTCCCCCTTTATCTTTCTGTACATTGTGTCAGAACCACTGAATAGAAACACACGTCTTGGATTGAGTTTCCTGCTGTTGGTTTATTGTCTTGGTTTGTCTCCTGATTAACTATGGATAACTTGACAACAACCTAATATGGAAGATAATAAACTGGACAAAGTCTGATATCACCCCCAATCCTTACCTGCTTTTGACAGGCTAATACTTGATAACTGTGGAAATACTGCAGACAAGCAAAAGCTTCTATTTCTGACTGTGTTAACTGACATTTTGCTGTGCTCAGTTTTCATGTGGTCTAGTTATGCCAGGAAAGAGTAGAAGGGTCTCCTTTAGGTCTAGCCACTTGCAGAACAGTGGATTCTGATGTAAAATAGAAGAATGCTGTTTTCTATCTTGTTTTGGCTGCACAAAATATTTCCCTGCATGTATTTGCATATCTGAAACCTCACCTTCTTGGGAACAGTATATGTTTGGAGTGCATGCTGCTGCACCTTTTGTGCTAGAAGTCCTAGTAACTGCCATAGGTCTTGCAGGCCAATTGGCTTCCAGTCTTCCTTGTTTTAAGTTGATGATCTTCAAATAAGCTTCTTGTCAAGGTGTGCAGCCTCGCTTACAAAGGGCTGCTGGTTCCAACTGGGATTGCAGTCCCAGTTCCGATGTTTGTTAGGTAGTGTCAGAGTAGTAAAGAAGGTGTGCTGGTAAGGGGAAACAGCAGAAAGTGCCATCTCTGATAAGCATCATAAAAATCATGGTGGGAGACATTTTCACAGGCTGTGCCTTGGACCTGGAACACGCTGTGTGAATCTTACATGTCACACCAGAGCTGTTTGCCAGACCCTGTCACAGGTGCTTTAGACCCAACAGAATCCGTTATGTGACTCTCTTGATGTCAGAATTTTCCTCCAGCTCTTGCCAGGAAACCAGACCGTGTCTAATACACTTGGGCAGCCTCCAGGTGGGAACTGGCTCATGACTGGCTCTGCTCCCATGAACTTCAGTCAAGGTGATTTATGAGATAGCTTTTTCTTGTATAGGTGGTAACTGCTTTGGCATTTACGTAGTCTAGTCCATGTCCCTTATTTGGGGGAAAATTGCAAGCAGGCTGGAAGAGGAAGAATTCAGACTCTTATTTAAATAAGACTTCAGGTAGCTATAAAGTCACCTTCTCGCAGGGGAATGCTCAAAGAGGCCAGTTGTCTATTCCTGTCTGAGACTGACAGATGGCTGGGACTGATGTGACAATTACTTTCCATGACGAGAAGCGAATCTCATCCTGGGCATAGTCAAAGAGACTGTGCCTTTACCTTTAGAGCTGAGAGTACTAGCTGAAAGAAGGAGTGTGAAGATGTTTCTCCTCACTTTTACAGAGAGGTGTGATTAGTGTAAAGTAATAACCCCAAGGAGCCCTGTGGTTGCCTGAGCTAGAGGGAGGAGGCGAATAACTCTCTTGCTCTGCTGTTGTGATCTGCAGAGAAGGCTGAGTAGGGAGGAGACACGGTCAGTTTTACTGTGATCGGACTGAGGAAGATCCGTTCTCCCTTCTAAAGATTACTCTTTTGCTTCCCTGATGCACTTGGCAGGGGAAGAAGTGGGAGGTAAGTCAGACGTGAAGATAAGTCTGCAAAACCCAGTATAACTCCCTTGCGATGCTGGCAAATTGAAGGAATGCCTTTCCTCCAGCCAGAATCCCTTGGAGGATCTAAGACTCTTACCACCCAAAGGTTTAAGAGCTGCTCTGGAAGTACATTATTTGGTGGATTAATGACTATCAATTAATCCATAGGCAGGGGAGGGTAATGGTGGTACAGAAGAGGGGGAAAGACTGCTACCTTGGTTCTTATCTTACTGGTTGTGAGCGAGGCGTGTCATCATCCTAAATGGCTTGCTGTACATTTCCAGTAGAATTATATTCTGATCCAAAACCCATGCAAAGAAAAGGCTATCATCGACTCCCAATTTTGTAGTCAAGAAAAGTGGCACCTTAGTCAGCAGATGTGCTTCAGAGACTTTCAGCAGGACTATTCATTTACCCTTTACGAACAGGAAAGCACGAGTACAGCTCTGAAGAGAGAACTGCATTACTGTTCTTTTTCTCCAGTAGTGCCAGGCTCAAGCTCTCCACAAAGTTAAAAGTGAATCACATACCATGATCTGTAAAATAAAGAGATCTGACCAGGAATTTACCCTGAACTGGTGAATGTGCGATCCTCAAAGTGCACTTCTAGTCCACACTGTATGCCCCAAAGGTGCAAATTATTCTTCACATCTATTGTGGATGGGCTTAAATATGAAGCAAGGGAAGTTTGGGTTCATCCTTTAGAAAAGCTTGCTAGCAATAAGCCTTTTAAAGCAGGGCACAGGTTTGCCTGGATGAACTACAGAAGTGCTTTCATCAAAGGTTTTTGTGAAGTGGTTATTTGGTCTGGAATGGGTTAGGAAGAGTGGATCCAGCCTTAGAGATTGATTGGCCAGCCTTCTAAAATTCCTTCAGTCTCACTGTCCCTAATTCTATATCCCAAGTTTTGTAGGTGTTTCTCATCCTTTTGCTTTCACACTGATCATTATCATCTTCAAGCTGGAAGAGAAAAATCAGTTGGATTACAAAGATGCCAGAGCTAAATATGTTTTGTTTGCATGATGTTTACATGGAAATGTGGTGGTGAACACTATTGCTCTCCATTGTTCGTAATGCTGTGTCTGTTTCCCCTTGAAGGTGATAGGAATAATAAAATCATAATCTTAAAATAAGTGATCTAGAATGAAATCCTAAAGCACTGCTTACAAAATTGCTGAAGCCAAATGGGCGCGTTTGAGCCAGCTGTATCCCGGAAGATTTCTCACAGCAGAACAGTAGAAGTAGTAGTTTTCAGGAGAACCACTTGATTTTTAAGTAGCTGATGATAAAAGGTTTTTTATTCCAGAGAAGTTTAGACATGGACACGGTGTATTTTTTTGTTGTTGTTTTTCTGGACTATGGTGAAAAATTATCCCCTTTCAGCCAAAACAAAACAGGTCATTGAGACAGTGATGGTGGGAAAGGGACACTGCCAAATCAAACTGTGATGCTGAGATCAGGGTGGTTATAAAGACTTCTGTGCTAAAGCTCACTTTTTTTCTAGGTCAAACTGAGAAACTTCTCCCCATTATAATTAACTCTTTGTCTCCCAAGTGTTAGGATGTTTCCTGTTCGCAGCTTCTTGTTTTGTTTTAGTGGGGGGTCAGGTGATAATCACTTGGGTCGCCTTTCTTCCCTCCAAATTGCCAAATTCCTAATACAGATGCTATCAGTTACACAGAGGCATATGTTAAAAATCTGAATTGTTTGTCAGCTAAAATTTTTAAATTATTGAACCCAACCTTCTGCCACACCATGCAAGTTTGCTATTTGAACAAATGCAGAGACAAAGCAGCTTTTTAAAAATAAAGGGCTTCACTCCATCTTTATGGCTTAGTGACTTCAAGGTTTTCCAAGGCAGAACCTCAGATCAGACCACAGAGAATACAGTCATATTTTTGTTACAGAGAGAACTGGATGGTGCTTTTCTCCCAGAAGACAAAAATGGAACTTCCTTGTCTTTCTGAGGAGAGGCAAAAAATGTATTTTTTCAGCAGGATGGCAACATCTGTATTTTTAAGTTATTAAGATCTGTGTGTTTAAGAATAAGAGGCAAACTCTTTCCACTTGTCAGCAGTCATGTTTGGAAACGAAAACATCGGTGTTTCAATGCTCTGACTTGGAGTGATAGAGCAAGCAGATCCTGGCTTTGGTGTGCTGGTTCTCATGGGCAGCCAGAGTGCTGGTTACTGCACTGTCTGCTGGTCCTTTCCAGTGAGACAGGATGAGGGAGGTGGAACTGAAGCTCCTTGTTTTGGGACACTTTGCAAATGCCATGTGCCATAAGCAGAGTACTGGGGCCTTTTGCTGTTCCCAGCACCCTGCAGAACAGAGGCACTGGGGGTCCCATTTCATGTGGATGGAAAGTGAGACCTGTGAGAGGTTTCACAGCTATCAACCCCTTCCAGTCATCAGAAAGGGGTCACCAAAGGTCTCACCCAGAGACAGAGTTTGTCTTCCTCTGCTGATCAAAGACAGAAAATCTCTTAAGACTTCTGCAAACCTAAGTGGACCTCCATGATGGTGTTTGGCTGCTGAAAGTGTGTTTTTTTCCCCCGAAGGCACAAAATAGGACTGTGCCATTTTCCATTTGAAATGGAAAGGAGGGGCACTGGTCCTGCCCTTAAAAAGGACCTGAGCTATGCCTGTGTGACACTACATCCATGGTTCTGAACATAGTACAGAGACCCCACCCACCAACTCTTGCCCTCACATCACAGGAGGCCTTCACACTGGGGATGTTATGAGGCTGGAATGGGCTGTGAGAGGCATCTGAGGGTGGGGAAATAGGCAGATCCCCCACAGGTTAGGGTTTCAGAGATTGGTTTTCAGGTTTATGTACCCAGAGGCCCACTGAATTTTCTACAGTTGTTCCTTGCAAATGTACCCTAAAGGCCTGTGAGCAGTAAGCTCAGATTGCTGCATAATTGATAAAGAGTATGCAGGATTTATCTATTCAGACTTTGGGGGATACCTGAGCAAAGGCTAATAGCTGAACTTTTTTTGCTACTTTGACAGTCCTCCCAATTGTCCTGCATTCTTCTTATGCCTGACCATTGAACCAATGTGGAGTGTTTGAAGAAATGAATCCCAGATCCTCTGGTTTTCATACATTTCTTGTTTGTAGGGACTCTCTCCTGCCTCTCTAGCTCCTTCCACTGCAGCCTACAGACCGAATCGTGCATCCTGACCTCCTGCATATTGTCAGAGTACTCAGCTCTCAGAAATGCCTAAATCTTCTGAGTCTCAAGGTTGTCCCATTTTCATGGTAGATCAAAAGACCAGTTGAACGTTTGTTCAAAGCTACCAGCAGTCATTACAACAGATGCTACTTTTTCCTTGTCCACCCTGTCTTTTGAAGAATTCATGTTTTATTAGCTGCCCCAGAGGTGCTGAGTTTAAGAGCACTGCCCCCAGCACTTAGTGGTGTCCAGGATTGCTCATCACACCACCTGGGGCTGCTTGGTTAAGGGCATTGGTATATTCCCACAGGACAGTTGATGAGTATACAATAATTCTCTCCCATAGCTCAAAGGAGAGAGTTTATTCCAAAAAATGTTAAGCCTTTTACTGCAGTAGGTCTCTGCTGACAAGGAGAAATCCACTGTGTCCTTGGCCGAGATCCCAGAATTCACAAGGCACTTCTGTGTGACAAATCAGCCTGAGTGCTTATGCCCTTTGAGAGATTCTAGTCTGGATTAAGTGCCACAGGCTTGAGAGAAGTTGCTCCTGAAATGGACATATATCTGAGAAACACATGTCACACAGTGATTCAGATTTGCCAGCAGCTTGTGAGCGTAGTAGACACAGGAAGGGTGGGGGCAAACAAAATTGTCAGAAATGCCTCCACTGTTTTAATTGGGAGAGGGCTTCAACTGAGGCATACATGAAGAAGTCCTTTACTGCTTTGACCAGTAAAAAGTTTTGCAGAACTTTTTGTTCTGGAGGGGGAGAACACACCAATAGGCTAAAAGATGCAAGGACTACCCTCCCTTGCAGGAATCAGGTCTTCAAGTGAAAGTTTTGTTCCCCTTTATCAGGAGACCTTGCAAGACAACGCCTCCTTGATTATATCTCTACAATTAAATCAAGAGTCTAGCACCTTTGCGTGACTCTAGGGACAAATGTCAATGTGTAGCATCTGTATCCACACTGTTGAAAAGTTGTATCCTCCAAAGGGAGACACTTGTTTCCATGCTGCCTGTTAGGATGGTCCTTGTTAGGGTGGTCCTTGCCCATGCTGATTCCTAAATGGTGTCTGGAAATTGTCTGGGAGGGTACTGAGACCATGCCAAGCATAAATTAATACGAGGTGATCAAAGTCAAATGCTTGGGAACATTCCCTGGTACTGTGGAGTTCACTAATGCAAACTCCATGTTTCTGGATTTGGTTTCCTTATTGTCAAACCAGTCTAATATACTTTGATCTCCTTACACTAAATTATTCCCCAGAAGACCATTTCACAGAATCATAGAATCATTTTGTTTGGAATCACCTAGTTCATAGAAGACCTCTAAGGTCATCAAGTCAAGCCTTTGATCAAATACCACCTTGTCAGCTAGACCATAGCACTGAGGTGGCATGTCCAGTCATTTCTTGAACACCTCCAGGGGTGGGGACTCCACCAGTTTTCCTGGGCGCTCCATTCCAATGCTTCATCACCCTTTCAGTGAAAAAACTCCTCCTGATGTCCAACCTGGACCTCCCCTGGTGCAGCTCGAGGCGATGTCCTGTTGTCCTGTCTCTAGTTGCCTGGGAAAAGAGACTGAGCCCCACCTTGCGACAGCATGCCTTCAGGAATTTGTAGAGAATGATAGGGTCTCCCCTGAGCCTCCGTTTCAGCAGAGTTCAGAATAACACAGATTGTTCCTCTAGCCTGCAGTTCTTGGAGGACATTTCTTTGAACGGTCATCCCCATAAATAGACATGGTAGCCACGTGCCCCTAAAGGAGCTCCTGGATCGACATATGCCTTGCTAATCCTCATCTAATACATGCTTTTGAACATGTACATGTGATTGGAAGGTCTGCCCAAGCTTGCTCTCTCTGTTAATCCTCTGGGTCCAGTGAGATACAGCAGCTTGAAGCCCACCCCCAGTGGGTTGTCAATATTAGACGCCATTATGCTCAAACAATAACAATAATATTTTTTTTAAATCAGCGCTCTTAGGAGAAGAATTGCTACCTTCACCCTAATAAACTGGAGAGGAATGTATGTGGACTTCAAAGCACTCAAAGGAAGAGGGGCTGCTCTGTAATCTGATGCTAGCTGTGGTTCCTCCAGATATGCCATCCATCCACCTTCAGTGGCTTGTTCTCTGAAAACCATTGTCCTACTCTTGTGATTGACACCCTTTGTTTTCTGTGTTGTCTAGTCCTTTTTAGCCTTTGCCTGTAAGGAGCAAAAAGGCATTTATTAGTCAGCGATGCCTGTGACTTGCTGCATTGTTGTCCCCAAGAGCTATGTTGAGTACATTGCCCTCATAAGTAACATTTTGAGCAGCATTTTATTTCCAAAATACTGATAATGTAGTTCGCCCAGTGTAGTTGTTATTTTTAAATTACTACTTTTATGCTGGTCTGTAGAGGAAAATAAAGAAAAGGAGGTAGAGTCTGTATTTCATATACTAAGTTAATGGGTAAGCCACAGTGATCTGCAGTAATCTAATTCTTTTCATCTACTTATGAACTCATGAAGAAATTGGAGAATTTTCAGGAGAGCCCAGCAGGCAAATATTTCCCATTTTAGCACTCAGATAAGTGGAATTAAAAATAGGTGATGTGGGAGGACACAGAACACTCTTGAAGTCTTATCTTCTGAGACTGTTATGGAAACTTGGGCTTTATTGAAAATCTGGCTTCTGTGTCCTGTGCTGGTGAAGTAGGTGACCTGAAGCTTTGCTGTAATACAACTACATTTATGTAGCAAATATTTAGCCTTCTCTATGAAAAAGGCACCCTATAAAGAGAGAGGTGTGTTTTGAAAAGCAGCATTCAAGAATTGCTGAAATGAAACTTTTCTGGTCATCCCGTGATTTATGCTTAATTTTCACTGCTTTTTAAGGGATGAAGAAGAGAAAAAAAAGTCTCACTCAGATGGTACAGATGAAAAGGATAACGGGAGCCAGACAAAGGCTGTCAGTCGAATTGGCAACTCAAATAACCCGTTCCTGGACATCCCTCATGACCCCAATGCTACTGTGTACAAAACTGGATTTCTGGCCCGGAAAATCCACGCTGATATGGACGGAAAGAAAAGTGAGTATTTTTCACTCCTAACGTGCTATTTTCTTACTATGTCTGCACAGTGCTACTTACCAATGAGCCCACGTGCTTCTCAAGGCAAATAGTGCTGCTTCATTAGGGGGAATTGCAGCAATAACAAACAACGCAGCAATTGGATTATCGACACTCTCACTGTTAGGCCAGGATTTACAATGCTTAGTCCCATTTGCAGCAGCTCTAATGCACGAGCGCGATAAGTGACGTGATACGGCAAAGCAATGTGAATTTTTTTTTTGCGCTAAAAGAAAATTAATATCGTGGTTTACAGAAGGGGGAACAATTTCAAGCGAATTGCAGTGGCTGTTCCCCAGAAATTTGGTAATCCTCCGTTTCCTTACGTGACACCAGTTTGCTCCAAATCCCCCCTCCCTTCTGGGTCTGTCTTTAAAGAAGGTCTGTTCTTTACTTCTACTTGGAAGATGCTGTAACCATTCCCTTCCCTTCTTTCCCAGACTTGGGTCAGACAGCCAATGAAGTGCAGCAGCTTTTGGCAACAGCCAGCTTTACACCGTGCAGTTCCTCTCTGCCCCTTTCTTATAATAATCTTGCTGCGTCTCTTGCTTTAATTAATCCTCTTTCCTTCTTTTGCTACTTCTGTTTGTGGTGCACTAATTACCGAGGGCCTCTGATTCACCTGCGTGTGTTTTGTTGCTTGAGTATCTTCATTTGTTTTCTGTTGGTATTGGAAACAGCAGAGCATCTGTATTTTCCCTGATTATTGTTGATGATTGCCTGCTCATGGTTCACATTGTTGGGCTAAATCCCGAAGACAAAGTCTGGCTTTGTGATGGGTTTCCAGTCTCTCCTGGCTAGGCTAAGCTCTTTGGGTTCCACATGTTTTGCTAGTGTATTTTAGAAGGTGCAGTTGGAGGTCGGTGTTTTGTAGATGGAAGCTGACAGCTGGACAGCTAAATCCAGACAGACATGTCAAAATCAAACTGACCTCATTCTTTGTGATGACTGGATGCTCTGAATAGATCGCTCTTTATTAAACGTCTGCTTATTTAACCTTAATAAGTAATTGTATCTGGTTGCCCTTATTAAATGGTTTCTTTAATTATAGGTATCAGAACTGCTCATTATTCAGCACACTGGATGCTGGCATTTTGGGCATAACCCTTTTATGAGTAATGTAATTAGGGCCATGCTTTCAGAAGCTCCTGTACAACTTAGAGGTCTGTCTTGTTGTCCTCTCAAAAAAGTTGCATCCTGGCTTTCTAGTGGCAAGTAAAACAAGTTTTTTTTTTTTTTTATAGTTAGTTAGACCTTTTCCTATTTCATTTCCTAATAGAGCTGTTGCAGGGTAGAGATCAGCTTGTGTGGGATTTTTAAGGAAGTGATGTACTAGAATGCCTATATGTATTTTCTTAGGAAAGGAATATTGAGGGCTAAAGCACTTAGGCACTTAGAGGAGAGGAATGTAAGAGGGGCCTATGCCTGGAAGCTGAACTGAGCAAATGCCAATTAGAAATAAGGTCTGTTATACAAAATGAGAATGATTAACCTCTGGAGCAAGGGACCTGTAACCTCTTCATCACTTGCTTTCTTAGATCAGAGTGGGATGCCTTTCTGAGTGTCATGCTTTAGTTGTGCACCAGTTATTAGTTTCAGTATAGGGGCAGTGGTTTGTATATATCTGAATGCTGGTCAAAGGTGTGTGCTTGGTGGAGAGAGAGCTTAGATGCAGGCTTCCAGTCTCTGGCACTGTGACCTTCTTCTCTCCCTCTGTTGTAGCTGAATTTCAAACTGGATCCTTCAGCCTTCATGCTGAATTTTTTTTTTCCCCCTACTGTATGTTTCTAGGAATTCATGGGCTGGATACGTTGTCTCTGTAACCTCTAACTTCTTTAAGTTAGAGGTTAACCTCTAACTGACTTTAGGTTTCTTGAGGGGTGTTTTTTTTTCCCTTAGGATTTTATTTGGCACCCTTCTCCTTTCTAAATGGCAGCTTGGGTGTGCAGCACCAGTAAGGGGAAGGATGCTCTTGAGAGACAGTGCTTTCTGAGCAGCGTCCTGTAGGTCCTGAGCAGTGCCAGCCAGCCTGCTGTGACATGGAGAAAGAGTGTTTCTTTCTGAAAACTACCACAGTGCAGCACTCAGACCTAGCTGTGTAGGGGCAGCGTCTGCCTACCTGCAAGTGCACAAAGGCTGGATCTCTGTGGCCTTCTTTCTGCACTGCTGCTGTTCCCTTTCTGATCCAGTCCAGGGCTGTCGTCAGGGTTGTTGTATTACCCTCTCTCACAGCAGGTCTGTGCAGGCGCTGTGCTAAGTTGCATTGTCCTTTGAAAAGGATGGTACAAAGGGGGTTTAACGCAGGACTAATGTAGCTCTCCTGTTGCCTAGAAAAAGTGTAAAAATGGATCCGAGTTAAATGGGTTTTCGTTTGTTTTCTTTGCAGCTCCCCGGGGAAAGCGAGGCTGGAAAACCTTTTATGCTGTGTTGAAGGGAACCGTCCTGTACTTGCAGAAGGTAGGGGAAATCACTGTTTTTTGAAAACTAATTAAAGAGGGATAAAGCAGCAGGCGTCCTCTCCACTCTCTCGGCCCACCTCCAGGCTCCTTTCCCTCCGGCGCACAGCGCAGCTGATCTCTTTCCCCTGCACCCTGTTTACACACACACTCAGGCATTAATCCTTGCGTTGACACCCTCTCCCTTTTCTCAATTTCAAGTTCATTTCCACTGTCCCATCCACGTGTGCGCCCTGCCTGTTCCGTTGCTGTCTCATTGCTGTCTCTCGCGGCTGAAAAAAACAGCCAGCCTGAGCAGCAAAGGCAGCCTCCTCTCTCTGTGTCCTGCACAGATTCCTCCAGGGTGCTTTTAACTTTGCATTTCATACGTATGACTTCCCCTTCTGTAAGGTTGCCCTCCTTTCCCACCTTTTCATGGTACACTTTACTGCAGTGCCTGCAAGACCAGCTGCAGAGCAATTGAACAACAGCTTGGCCTTGGTAGGAATCTGCAGCTTCTGTTCCGTTGCAAAATTGAAGGATAAAAGGATACTACTTTTTTTTTGCCAAAGCAAGAAGAGACTGGTTTCTAACAAAATGTGCTTCCTGACAGCAAGAAGTCTAAAAAAAATGTCAAATGAAACCCTCCAAGCCTTTTGTCACAAGCTTAAATTTATTATAGTACATTTTTAACTATACTGCTGGAACATAAAATGCAACATATGACTGAGAGCTGTCAAAATCAAATAAATGGTATCAGCTAAGTAGGTTGCTAAGGCTTTTTGCCCCCCAGTGTAGATGAAATATTCATGGAATAGGTGCTGTTTGTCCAGACTACTCTGTATTGCAGAAGCATGCTTCTTCGAAAGCTGTTTTACATTTCCACCACGTTTTGCAACTGTCAGGAGTGCAAGTACATACTGCAAGTACATTTCCTCCTCCCCTACTGTGTCTTTCTGAAGTTGTTGGTTTCATTGGCACCAACCTGGATGTTCTCTGACAAGAAAGAGAGTGGTTTGGATCAAATTATTACAGCATGGGGTTTACAAGGTGGATGCTCTGGGTGCCGTACCTTTTTGAGAGGGCTGAAATCCCGAAACAGACAAAACAGTCTGCAGTCAGGGTGGAAGATTTGGGCTGAAAGATGGATGTGATATGCTCAAGGTCAGTGCAGGAGACTAGAACCAAGTCTGCTGAATCCCAAGTCCTGTTACTGGCAGCAGGTTCAGGTTTTACTAAAGTGGCCTTTGTGCTTGCCATTTCCTGGGTGAAATGAAGTCACCTGCTTCAGTTTCTCAAATAAGTCATCTTTAGTGTTCACCTGAAAAGACTGCATGGTTCCCTAAGAAGTAAGAGGGCTCCTTGTTTGTAATACATGAATTAATTTCTTATTTGATATTTAAGGAGGGATTAATAAGCTTTCAAGGGGAAGAACCAAGGATACTGTCTGTTTTAGAGTCTTAATTAGATATCGTTAGGAGTATTGCTGGCATATCAGTTTAAAATGCTTTCTGTTCAAAAAAATGTTGAGATGCTGATGTAGCATGCAAATTTTCTACAGAATGCTGCTCTCCCCACTCTCACCCTCCGTGCATTGAAGAGCAAATAGAGTAATTTCCCATGTGACTGAATCTTTGCCGAATGAAATGCATCGTTGGCATTCTTGTTCTTATTTGTTTGTTATTTGTGTGTTTTTCGCTTGTCAAAGCACTTGAATTCCGTGATTACAGGGCAGTACTCTGCAAAGCTGCATTCTCCCACTTGGTCTGGAAGACATTTGCGCTGAAACTATCTTACTGCAGCACACTGACAAGCAAGGCTTTTTCTTTGGTGCTGTCAAAGGTTGACAGAAGGGTGTGATGGGAAGTAACTCATTCCAGGAGTGGTCAGGGCAACTGTGAGCCTCCCCAGGGCACTTAAATAGAGTTTGCTCTGTTAGGGATGTAGTGTCACAGAAGGTGAGGGTGCCAGGGTTTTAAAATAAGACCTAGGCCAAGTTGTTATAGTAAAAGTTTCTGACCTGTTATTTCCTTTTGTAGTGTACATATTTCAGTGTTAATTATAGTAATTTCAGAAAGTTTGGGAGTGTTTTAGAACAGCTTGATTTCTTTGTGGAAGTGCATAGCTCTGGCAGTAGTCTTGGTCAGAGGATTTCCTTGTCTCTGTTCATCTTGTCTCCTGATTAAAGAGGGCTGTGGGCTAGGGTGCATTCACATGCACACACACATTTTTCCTCTTTCTCTTACTATCTGTATTTGCAGAGATAACATCTGTGATGGTGACTTCATTGCACTGAGTGCTATTCAAGCAAGGCAGGGAGAAATCTCACTGTTCAGGTGCTGTCTGTACATAAACACATGTGTAAATCTCTGCAGTATTGCTTTCTTTGTTTATCTCTAACTCAACTGTTCCCTCAAGACAGTATTGTAATATAAATATTAATTGTTTGTAGCAGCTGTGATTCCCCCAGTGGGTAGTGTGATCCCAATTCTGCTGTCATTCTGTTTACATTCCAGTGCTCCCTGTTTTGCTGTCAAAGCCCATGTATGAGAGTGTTTTGTAAATGGTGGTCGCTGGAGATTCAGTGGGGAGTTTTGCTGGGCAATCTTGTCTCTGTGCCCACATTTTTTATTTTTAAATTTTTTTTTCCATTGGAATTATTCCAGTGCTAATTCCTGTGCTGCATATTGTTTTGTTTTCGAATGAGTGATTTAAGAGAGATGGTTTCTGAATTAGTGAGCCCAGAGGGCACCCGAGGGGCTCGGTGCAAGCATTCACAATTAGCCAACTAAACATGTCTGCACAGTGTTACATAAAATGAAAAGTCTGACATGTTTGGGATGTTAGCCCTGTCTCTGGGCATCCTCAGGCCAAGGTTAATTTCCTGCCCTCTGTTCACAGCAACAGGAAATTGCAAAGTAGGAGCTTGACAGAATGTCTGTTCGCTAGACTGGCACGGGATGTGATGTGAGTACAGAAGGGAGGTTTAGAAGGAAAGGACATAAGGCTGACCTCGCTTCCTTTCAGAAGCTAGAAACTGCTTCTGAAACTGCTTCTGGGCAAGAAGTGCTGGACAGAAACCTTCCTGTTTTGTTTGGACTCTTCTTTGAGGTTCACAACATCTTTACTCTTAGATGTGTGACTTCATAATCTTGCAGGCTTCTGGGTGTTTTTATATAGCTTTTCTCAAATTTCCTCTATAAAAAGTTTTTAAAAAAACAAAAAAACAGAGAAAGGCCAGAATGATGTAACGTGTTCGGTGACGAGACTTTCTGAAAGAGAATTTTGCAGCTGTCACATGCAGCTGAGTGGAGATATCCACCCACAGTACATTGACTGATAAAAAGACAAATGTCATTCTCTGGTCTATCAAAAACAGATTTAGAAACATGCTGACTCTGGGTCAGCAGGATGTGGGAAAGTCATTCTCCAGGAGTTTGAGAAAGATGAATTCAGCATGCCATTCCATTGTGTGCAGCACTCACATCAGCCTTCAGTTGACAGGGCGGTCACAGTTCCTCTCTGGCTCCAGATATATATTTCTTGCCACTGTCTTGGTCTAACTTTAGAGAGCTGCCTTCCATTTCAGCTCAGCCTCCGTGCTGACACCAGCACGTGCTTGATGGCATAGGAGAAAACGGATGTTCCTGCTGCCATGGCATTCCCCACCAGTCGTAAAGAGCTGAAGGCCTTAGAGAAGGAATTTTGACAGCACATTCGTGTTCTTAATAGCTTGCTCTGGGGCCGGCCAGGACGTGGAGACATCTCTGGTATGCTGATCAGTGCCTTTGGAGAAGCTGGCAGAGCCCCAGCTGTCAAGGTGGATTGCAGCTAACTGATCTGGTGGGATTAGGAAGGATTATCGGGAGCCCCCTCTGTCGGAAAGAAGGGGTTCTCAGCCAGGATTGCTTCTGGGGCTGCCCAAATGTGGAGTTTTTCTGGAACAGTTTAGACACCAGAGCAGGTTGTGGACACCGGATGCAACTCACAGAGGAGGCTGAACAGCAGCAGGCTAGGTGATAGCTGACACTGTCTCTAGGCAGTAACTCGAGGAAAGATGGAATATCATGTTCCTGAGGCCTGTCTAAGTTCACTTCCTGGCTCTGAAGTTTTCCCAGTCTCCCTGAACAGTGGAGCCAGTCATTTCACCCAAAACTACCACCAAATAAATCAGCTTTTGAACTCGTAAAGAAAGGATCTTGACCTGTGGCCTTGCCTCTTCCATCTTCAAGATGGAGATGTGACAGACTTTGGACAGTCTCCTCCAGTGATTGTCCTTTGGCTAGAGTCTGGAGCCTCAAATCTTCCTTGAAGACGGTTTGAGGGAATGCCCTAAGTGAGCATAGACAAAGTCTGTCATGGTAGAGACATTCCTCCAAATCTTGTAGAGTCTCAAGCTATGGGAGAGGAAGGACACTTGGGTTTGCCCACTGCCAGCCCTGGAAAACCCCTTATGCTGCAGATGTTTAGGCTGAAGGCTGCCCTTTGGTCACCTGTGCAGTGGTGCTCTGTCTTTCTGCTGTGCTTGCCAGAGCTGTGGTGCGTTGTGCTGTTGGCTGGCCCTGGGTGGAGGTGGTGCTGGGCAGGACTGCTGGATAGCTGCACCTTCTCAGGTGAAGTGTCTGAGCAGCAGTGGCAAGTTCTGGGCCTGCACTAGGTTGGAGCTCCGTCAGGAAGGATGAGACATGGCAGAGGAGCAGGGATGCTTCATCCTACCTTTTGAGAGGTGGTCACCACAGCTGGTGATGCCCCATCCACTAAAACTCATCCTGGAGAGCCCCAACCCATCTTGTCCAAAAACACAGATACCTTTGGCGGCAGCTTAGGTACCTCTGGCTGCAGTCCTGTTCTGTGTGCTGCCAGAGAAGCCCTGTAAATGAATCCATGCACATTAACCAGCTCCTCTTCAGGGCAGGTGCCTCCCTGGCTGTTGAAGCTAGTGCTGTCCTTGCACACACCCTGTGTCCTGCACTCTCTTTCCTGCTAAACCTCATCTCGTAACTTGTGTTCAAGTGGAGGATCAATAGTTATCACGCCTGCAGGGAGTTATTCCTCTGTTTTGCAGCTGTCACAGGTGAGACTGATTTCTGTGATGTACTAAGAGAGAGGGAGAAATGGAGTCAATTACAGACTGCTTTGGCCTGCCCTTCAGAAATAAAGCATTGCTGGTGGATGACTTTTCCTGGAAAAAGCTCCTGGCTTTCCCAAGCCATTTTTAGTCATGTGGGCTTCACACAGAACTTGTGGCTAGACCGTGGTTGTGCCTTTATATAGCTTCTGTCACTCAGGAGATCAAAGACTGCTTCCAGGCTGATACTTGCAACACAAGGGAAGTTTGACTCCCGTTTTTGCCTTTTGGCGCTAGGAGTGGTACTGTTACTGCGTCAAAAACCCTGGACAGAGCTGTGCTTGCCATTTGTGGGCTCTGAGTAGAGAGATTTATGGGAGTTTGCTGTATTTGCTTTGTGCAGACTGATAAGGAGGCTTCTCCAGTGTGTGAGGGCCTGCCTAGGAGAACATACAAAGGTATTGTTTGAGAAGAATTAAAACCAAGCAGTGGAGGCTGAGAACCCAAGTAGCTGAGCAGTGGAGGTGGGAGCTGGTTATGAGGATTCCTGAAATGAAGACAGATAGTCTGTGGCTGCTGTGATAGTCAAATACTTCCTGTTTACCTCTCTATCAAGCAGGTAGCAAAACTACTTCTCTCCCTGGGAAAGAGATTTAAGAAAAAAAAAAAGAAAAAAAAGAAAGAGAAAGGAAAATAGGTTAAAGGTGGTAAAAACCACAAGTGCTTAAGTCAGGTTGCACTCCGTTCATATACTTCATTACCATCTGTGAACTGTGGAATGTGGTTTTTCCCTAGGCTGAGGAAAAGGGAGTAGCACGTGCAGAAATAATGTGCCATTTTGCCCCTGTTAACTCCTGCAGGATGAATATAAGCCCGAGAAGGCTTTGTCGGAGGAGGATCTGAAGAACGCGGTGAGCGTGCACCATGCGCTGGCGTCCAAGGCAACAGACTATGAGAAGAAGCCCAACGTCCTCAAGCTTAAAACAGCAGATTGGAGGGTCCTGCTTTTCCAAGCCCAGTAAGTGCTCTCTGCATGCCAGCCATTGAGGAAAGAAAGCAGTGCTGAAAGAGGGATAAATTCATGCCTGGACAGGTTAAAGCAGAGGCTTAAGAGGTTCAATCTGTTTATTTGATCAGAAATGAGATTAAGTAGTGATGTGATTACAGTGCACATGTAGTGCATGAGAAAGAAACATCAGGTTTTAAGAGGCTTTTTAATCCAGCTGAGAAAGGCATAACAAGATGCAGCAGCTAGAAGCTGAAGCTGCAGGAAATTCAATTTGGAAACAAGGCACAAACTTACAACAGTCAGGGTGATTAATCACTGAAGCAAATGACCAAAGGCAGTCTTGGATTGTCTGTCTCCTGATGTTGTCAGGTCCTAGCCAGATATCTTTCTAGAAGATACGCTGTGATCAGAAACAAAGTTAATACAATAATGATATGATTAAGTTCTTCATGCTGTGATACCCAGACAAGAACAGATGACCTGCCTTTTGCTTCTGACATGAACCCCTTTCTACCAAGAGCACGTACAGATCCTGGAGATCTGTGATGTCCTGCACCACTGAGACCTTAGGATATGTATCTGAATCAGGGCATTGACTGGCTCTGTCACCTGTGTCTTTGGATTGGATTAGGAAAAGATGTGTGCTGGGGTGAGGTATGGGCCTAACCATAAGCCCATAGTCTTAGTTAGCTGTCACTAAGTGCTTGCAAACATAGACCACAAGACTTAAGCAGGCTCTTAAGACTAGTCCAGTTCTGGTTATTCTCGCTTTTAAAATGCTCTAGAAGGGGTGGAAAGAGGTAGAGGAGGCTTGAGTCAACAGGTGCTTAATGTGTGTTTCTTCCCCAGGAGCCAAGAAGAGATGCAGACCTGGATCAACAAGATTAACTGTGTGGCTGCTGTCTTCTCTGCACCGCCGTTTCCAGCGGCAATTGGCTCCCAGAAGAAGTTCAGTCGCCCGCTCCTGCCAGCCACCACAACAAAGCTATCTCAGGTGAGATGTTCTTGTGTGGAGGGCAGGTGATGACGATCTCTCTTGCTGGCTGGAGATGGGATGGTGGTCCTTGTCACTGTTTTATGGCTGTTGCCACTGGCAGTCCCAGAGAGGGAGGCTTACATGGTAAAACTCTGCTCGTTCCCTGGTGCAAGATTGGAAGCGGTGGGAGAGAAGGAACAGACTTGAATATAGTTGTTTTATATTTTTGAAGAAAAGAAACAGTCACCAGTGTTCCTAGTACCAGACAAAGAATTTTCATCTTGTGCTTATGGCTGTGTAGAAGACATTTCAGATACTGACTGGTGGGTTTTTTGAAATATGAGTGTGTATTAAGGCCACTCATTTCAGAAGAAGTAGACATTTTCCTGGTCTTTGGCTTATTGAAATGATAAAAGGTGAAAGCTGATGGATTAGACAAGCATCAGTTCTGTTTTTCCCACAACATTTTCCAGACTCCAATCCTTATCAGCCCAGGGATTTCCTGTATAGTACGTGTTTGTAACTGTTTCTTACATGAATGTCTTTGGTCTCCCCTTGTGATCACACAAGCTTTTAGCATCCTATGTCAGGGAGTTTCAGAGCTCTACTTCTTGCACAAAACCCCACATGCTTCTGCTTGTTTCACACTGGCTGTGTCAGATGCTTGCACCCATGGCTCCCTGAACTTTGGGAGATGGCGATGCATGCCTGCAATTCCCTCTGCCCTGGCAGGAACATGACGTTGTTTGCGTTCATCAGGTTGACAGAGCGACAGGTTATACTTCACGAGTATTCTCCTGTACTTTTTAAAGTGATCTGCCCATGCTGGATTGCTTCTTAAATGGGTTTGGGTTTTTTTACCGTCTTCATAGCTTAGCAACTCTCCTTAGAAACCACTGTCACAAAATCTGCATTTCTCTAAGGGGGTGTTTTTTTTAATGTCACCCCTGCTTTTTCTCTCTCCACTGCAGTAGCCTTTCTTCTTACAATGTGGTGGCCTACTTACCAACTTGTGTTCTGGGCTGAAGTTTAAAGCACACTTCAGAAAGGATAATAGTAACTTGTCATCCTTGTGCTTTTACCTTTTGCATACCTTTCTGAAAAGACTGTACGGGGCTTCCATAATTTACCCCTAAAGTCACCAAAGAAACCTTTTTTACTCATCGTTGTTCTGTGTGGTTGTTCCATTTAGCACAGTTTCCTAGTCTCATTTCCATTTAATCTGGAAAAGAAAAAGTAGATCACAGCCCTGTGGTTTGTGTCTCGAAGAAAGGGAGGCATGAAAAGGGGAGTAAGATAAGCTGTTTTAGTTAAGGGCAGAAGAATGTTAAATGTTAAAAGTAGATAAATTCAAAGGTAAGTAGAAAGATGTTTGCTTTCATCTGCCTGTGTGGAAAAGCTGCCAGCAGGCTGTTTCTCATTTGACAGACAAAAAAAAAAATACAAATTACCAAATCCCTGTGGTTGCTGTTTAGGGTTTTGTGGGATGAATCATGATGGACAGTACTTCGTCAAAGGGTCTCTTTCTGGTCAGGCAGAAGTTGGAATGCAGTGAGGACCTAACATGGATGAGGAAGAGAGTTTGGACACGTGCAGGTTGGGGAAGATCGTTGTACCAGCTTTTCCTTTAAAAGCAGAGGATCTTGGTTAGTCCAACCAAAGAAGGATATGACAAATCTGTATATAAAGGAACAGCCAGTCTAGAAAAGATCTACTTGGGTGTTGTTTGATTTTTTTTTTCCTGAGAATGTGCAGCACACCCAAAAGCTCCAAAACTGGTGCCCTGGAAATTACAAATGCTTTATTAATAGCTGCTCAAAGACCTCCTGTCATCAGGCTGTAGGACTCACTGCCACAGGATGTCACTGGGACCAGGGATTCAGCTCAGTGTGAAGAGTGATTGGGCACTAATGGGAGAGCATGCAGAACCAGGATAGTTACTAACAGCAACGAGAATTTTTGGCAGCCAATAGCGAGTGGTTTGAGCCCTACCATGTTTAGGCGGAGGCAAATTATCCCACATGTTTCTTTCTTCAGTTCTCTTGCAGAAGAGTTGAAACGCAAGATTAGCTGGGGCTCAGCTATCATTTTTTCTGTAGAAATTTTCCTCCTTTCTGCTTTTCCTGCAGCTCTGGCTCAGTGAGCTGGGAGGCTCGGTCCCTGCTGTGACTCAGTGCAGCGCAGGCGTGTCCGAGCTAGGCTTGAAGCTGTGGGCTGCACAGCCACACCACTGAGGGACAACACAGGCAGCTGTCCCCTCCTCTGAGTCTGGGTGCCTGCACGGGAGCTGAGCTGGGTGCTGTTGTTGTGGCTGGCTAAGTCACCCAGATCTGCATGATCTTTGCTGTGTTTTGGACTTGCCCACTTCCAACATATAATTTCAGATCCAAGCCTAGAAATGGACAGAAGGCCATCCTGCAGGAGATGGAAACCTTCTGAGAGGAGGGAAGGTTAGCTGACAGATGGACTGGAGGAAGTGAGTGGGCCTGGGATTATGATAAAGGAAATTGCCTAGAAAGTGGGAGTAGCAACTCCTCACTTTCTCCAATGGCACAATGGGATAAAAGCTGGTAGCAGCTTAGCAGAATGGGATACCTTTTGGGGACTGGACAGCCCTTCCTCTTCTGAGTGCATTCTATTGTTATAAACAAATAGAAAGCACACACCAGAGAGCTCTTGGTAGAGCAGAAATGGAAGGAAGGGCACAGACTCCACATCTTTTCTATGCTGGAAGGAACTCCTTTTATATTGCAAAGACCTGAAGCAGGTTCTTCACATCTCTCGTTCTGCCCTTGGTTTGACTGCATACACAACGGTCTTAATTAATTTACAAAGAAATGTATTAGAGCAGAAATATCATGTTGTCAGTAATGCTCTGCAGCAAGCTGCTTTTGTTGCTCACAGTAAGGCAAGGGTTGACAGGTTTACTCTCCTTCCCAGTGGCACCTTCTGGCTGCTGAGTTTTTCTACAAACTTGGCCACTTTGCAATAATACCAAGTAGTTTCTTTCTCTCAGATTTACACTTATTGTACAGGGCTGTCTCTTCTTTTCCTTTGCTTACTGGATATGTTAGATTCTGTCACTGAAATGCCTAATGTGTTTTTGAAGGATGAACAGCTGAAGTCCCATGAAGCTAAGCTGAAGCAGATCTCCACTGAGCTTGCTGAACATCGCTCCTATCCTCCTGACAAGAAGCTCAAAGGCAAGGAAGTAGATGATTACAAACTGAAGGACCACTACCTGGAGTTTGAGGTGTGTATGGGAAACATCATTACTTTTACTTCTTAGGTGTGGGTGGGGGATGTCTTATACTTGGGGTAGAGTCCTGAAGTTCTGCATTGTTCACTTTACGTCCCCAAGAAGTATGTTCGAGTAGGCAGAAAAGTCACAGCAATCTCAGAAGCTGAAATGCGGCTCCTTTTCCTGACAAGAACTTCCTGTGACCTTACCCATGAGTTTTTCTCCCAGTCAGTAACACGGAGGATTAAAATGCGACCCAGTGTCCTTTTCTGACGTATCTGTTTGAAGAGATGATAAGGTCTTCAGGCAGGACACGTCTTGTGTTGTAAGACTGTGTTTCCAGGTGTGCTGGAACCTCAGTCTTCACAGAATGACTGCATTCTGCAGTAGTACAGATTGTGATAATTGTCTTCCACTGGTGTGTTTTGAAGGAACTGCCATTCTGAAACTACTACCATAGTCATGCCTCATCAGAGCCATTTGTACTGCGAGCCAGCGAGCCGGATGTCAGGGTCAGAAGGAAAAGGGTAGGATTAAAGATCACAGGATTGAGTGATGCAACTTAGGCAGCTGCATTGGGAGATTGTTCTGAGTATCTGACAGCAGCTTTTATCCGTCATGGTGTCTGTCACACTGTAGGGCTATGTGGGAGCAAGCTGGCAACCCACCAGGTGTCTGGTATTTGTTATGGCTACACCTTTGAGCTTTTTCCCTCAGAACTGTGAGTCAGTGTTGCCTCGGGTCTGAAAGGATCCTACTCTAAATAGGCAGTGCCCAGCAAGGAATATCCATAGTCTGAAGAAGAGGAAGAACAGATAAGATGAAAGTCAGAGACCACCAGAGCTGGTGCTGGAGGCAACACAACACAAACCTCCAGAACTAAAGTAAGCCTCCTGCCCTGTGTTATCAGTTTCTATTAGAGGAACTGTTTTCACTCCTGCACTGGACTGGTTGTGTACTTTTGCTTTTGCAGAAGGTTGTAATCCCTGTGTTGAGTTTCACTTTGCGGTAGCAAAGTAGTCAGCTTGGCTTTATGAACAGGGAATCATATCTGACCAACATGATAGCCTCTTACAGTGAGATGTTTGGTGTGATGGATGAGGGGACAGCAGTGGATATAGTTTGTTCTTCACTTTAACAAGGACTTTGACATTGTCTCCCCTAACATCCTTGTAGACAGGCTGATAAAGTGGATTAGGAAATTGGCAGTGAAGTGGTCTGGCTGAACATTAGAGATCAAAGGGCTGTGATCAATGGCACAGTGTCAGTTTGGAACACAGCACTCAGAGCAAGCCACACACTTTGTCTCTGGACAGAGTGTGACTTGGAAGAGCAAGGAACTTCTTGGCTTTGGGTCCTTGACACAAAGTTTATTTTCTATTCCTTCTAGAACCACGATGAGTTAGGATGAAATGTAGGCTGGAATTTTAGATGTTTTTTTGAAAGATTGATAGAGGAGTAGATTGTTGTGGACTTTTTTCTGCTTCTGTCAATTTTATCACGGTGATCTTTAGAGAAATATTCCTCAGGTACCTCACTGCAAATCAGAACCAGTACAGCCCAGAAAACAAAAGATGTCATCTTCTCTAGTGAGATTGTCAAACAGCAGTTCAGATAAATGATCAGCACTGCAGGAATGCCTGTCTGAGCAGGGAAGTGGTGGCAACAACTTCAGTTACGTGTGAGAAATGGTAATTCAAGGTGCTTCTGTGCAATGCTGTGTTATCTTCACACTTGGCACAGATTTCACAGGCCATGTTGAACTATCAAGAGACCGTTCCAAAATGTCAGAAAGTCAAGCAGACAAGGTAGAAGGCCAGCTCGGCTTAGAGGGATTTACTTTTAGAGCTAAGGCAAAAAAAAGTAGGTGTTTGCCTATTGGAAGCACAGTCAGGTGACGTGGGAAGAATAAAGAGATGCTGCTTGCAACTGCGAGGAGAAAATTTTTGTGGCCAAAGCTCAACTGGAGTTGAAGCTGGCCAGAAATGTGGGGGGCAAGAAAAACAGGTTTTTAAAGTGCATTAATGGCAAAAGGCAGTGCTGAAATAGCATCAAACCATTACAGGATGAGGGTGGCCACCTCACAAACAGGGACAGAGACAAGGCAGAGATGTTTAACACATTCTTTGCCTCTGCCTTCAGCAATGATGCACCAAGGGGGTCTCAGTACTCTGAGCTGGAGGACCATGAGTGTGAGAATGATCAACTCCCAGTCAATCCTGAAGTTGTATGGGATCTGCTGCTCCAGCTGGATCCCTACAAATCTGTGGGGCCTGATGGGAGTCATCCCAGAATCCTCAAAGAGCTGGCTGATGTCATCACGAGGCCTCTCTCAATGATTTTTGAGCAGTCTTGGGAATATGGCAGGTCCCAATATACTGGAAGCTGACTAACACTGTCACAGTGTTCAAGGGGGGGAAAGAAGGAAGACCCTGGAAACTGCAGGCCTGTCAGTCTTACTTCAGTGCCTGGTAAAGTTATGCAGAAAATTATTGTGGGAATTATTGAAAAACACCTGAAGTCATCAATCACAGCCACCATGGCTTCGTGATAGGAAAGTCCTGCTTATCAAACCAAATTTCCTTCTGTGACAAGGTATCCCACCCAGCTGATCAAGGGAAGCCAGCTGATGTCTCTCACAGGATCCTGCTGGACCAAATGTCCAGCACTCAGCTGGATAAACACACCACGTGGTGGGTGAGCAGTTGGCTCAGGGGTCGGGCACAGAGGGTAATAGTGAGTGGGGTGACATCAGACTGTGACCTGCCACTAGGGGGGTTCCACAGGGCTTCATCTTATGTGCTCTTCAACATCTTCATAGACCACCTGGATGCAAAACTCAAAGCAATACTAAATAAGTTTGTTAATGATACTAGACTGGGAGGAACCATTGACTCCCTTGAAGACAGAGATGCCCTGCAGGGAGATTTCAGCAAATTAGAGGGCTGGGCAATCCCCAACCACATGAAGTTCAACAAAGGAAAGTACCAGATCTTGTACCTGAGATGGTAAAACCCTGGATGTGTGTACAGACTGGGGAATGAGGCTGCTACTGGAGAGCAGCACTGCAGAAAGGGCCCTGGGGGTCCTGGTTTGTTGGCAAGTTGAATCTGAGTCAGCAGTGCCTTGGCAGCCAGGAGGGCCAACCCTGTCCTGGGGGTCAAGGCATCACCAGCCAGTTGAGGGAGGGGATTGTCCCGCTCTGCTCTGCCCTGGGGCAGCCTCACCTGCAATACTGTGTGCAGTTTGGGCACTGCAGTATAGAAAAGATAGAGAGATAGTAGAGGGCATCCAAAGGAGAGCTGTGAAGATGGTGAAGGATCTAAAGGGTAAGCCATGTGAGGACTAGGAGAGGTCACTTGTTCTGTTCAGCCTGGAAAAGAGGAGACTGAGGGAGGACCTTGTTGCAGTTACAACTTCATTGCAAGAGGAAGCAGAGGGGCAGGAAACAGTCTGTCTGGTGACCAGTCACAGGACCTGAGGGAATGGCATAAAGCTGTGTCAGTGGAGGTTTAGGTTAGATTCTAGGAAGAGGTTTTTCACCCAGGGAGTGGTTGGGCACTGGAACAAGCACCCCAGACCTGAAGTGGTTACAGCACCAAGCCTGCCAGAGTTCAAGAAGTGTTTGGACAGTGCTGTCAAGCACTTGGTCTGATTCCCAGGGCTGTCCTGTGCAGGCCAGGAGTTGGGACTTTGATTATCCTTGTGGGTCCCTTCCATCTCAGAATATTCTGTGATTCTTTGAGTAAAAAACCAAACCAAACAAAAACCAAACGGTGAGCTATATGAAAACCACAAATGGAAACTTTCTGCTGGTTTTGGGGTTTCCTAATCTTGCCTTTAGAACAACGTCCTGCCGGGGTCAGGCAGGAGGTGGTGACAGGAGGTGGTTGCTGTATGGTTAAACCAAAAGGGAAAGAGGCAGGTGAGGCATTGTTTTGCAACTGTCTCTTTTAGGTTGAGATTGCAGGCCAGACCTTGCGTCTATGTACAAAGATGTTGATACATCTCCAGAAAAACAACAAAACGGCCTGTGAGTCCCTAAGGAAGCAGCATAGTCCCATGAGGGAGGAAGAAGCTATTTTCCTTTTCTGTAGGTCCTTATAGTTCCTTTTTGTTCACACCCTAGCAATCCCTTCATTCCTGTTCCTGATGAAAAACAAGTAAGGTGGTTTTTCCTTCTGAGGGGAGGTGAACCAAGAGGTGTCTGAGTGCTGTCAGGTGAGACGTGAAGCCAGAATACTGATGGGTGGCTACTTCGTCTCCTCTTTGTTGTGCTCATTCAGTCTTCAGAGATAATGTTGCAGAAACTTCTGAATGGTTTCAGCTTCTGTGGTTTTATTTTCTTGACAGAATTTTCCAGATTAATTTCTCTTAAGGCAAAATTCCCACCAGCTTTTACCTAACTGCAAATGTCAGGTCGCTAAAAGACCAAGCGTTTTGCAGTTGAAATAAAAATAGAAATGCATCGATTAATTGCAGTAGAAATCAGGGGCCCACAAAGGCTGGGGAAAAATGGCCATTTGCACACATATAGATCCTGGATTTCCATTCTGATTGCCGAGTCTTGTGACCCTGCTTGTTTACTGGACTTATAAAAAGCAGATCTCCATATGTCAGTAAAATCCCTCTCTCATTTGATGAATATTACGCTATTTCCAAGCTCAGAGCACTGGTTTGCCTTTTGCAGAGGTGTCTGGTTCGTTGTGTGATGAATCATCCATCAGCCCTGTGCATCATCATCAGGGTTCTGCTTGCTGTTTCTCCATTTCCATTTTTATTAAATGACACATCTTACCTGCTTCATGTGTTTGTCTGTCACATTGTGGAGCTGGAGCTCCAGATAAGGAATTGATAGGAATGCTTTTTTATTTAATTTTTAGGTCGATTTTGTGGTGATCCTCCTCTGTGAGTATTTGTTTATTCAAAGGATTCTCAAAACCCAGTCACCTTCTCTTTTTCCCCCCCGCCCCCTTTATATTACACACTTCAAAGCAGTTACCGAGCTTTTTGACTTCCTGCCCTCAAATAGGTGTTTTTATCTGGAACTTTATTTTTTACTGGAAATTGGAAAATTTTTTCTTAAATACGTTTTCCTCTGCCAGGAACATAATAGTTTGGCCTCTGTTTTGCCACTTTGAAATACAAATTAGCAATCAGGATGGATGTTAACATTCTCCTTCCCTGTTACCCAGCACACTGAGGTCGTCTTAATTACAATGCCTGCACCACCTCTTCAGTGGATATGTCAGGGGCAGGTTATTAAACAGAGGAGGATTGCTCTGTTCTCAGGACCTCCTGCCCCAGCATCTGTTTTTGAGGCCCTGCAGGGATCTTCTATTACAGTGCCCTCATTTTGTTCCTTTCTGAGTTGCTTCTTGCAGAAAGATGTAATTGTGGCAAGCAGAGCAAAATCTTTCATTGGAGAGGGAAAGGTCTGGTCCAGATATGGAATAGAACAAGTGGGGATGGCACACAGTAAAGGGAACTTTTTCCATTTGAAAAATTAAAGGGTCTGGGCAGAGAGCAGCCTTCATCATTCCCTGTAAGTGACCCTAGCAGGGGAATGTGCCATGCTGCTATCATAGCCCTCTCATCTGCTCCTTTTTGTCAAGGTCTGGCCTTGCAGAAGATCCTCTCACGGGCCTAGTGGTGGGCAAGCTGGTAGTATCTGAACTTAGTGGGACACTGCTTTGGTTTCTCCCCCATAGGTAAAAAAAGCAGGAAAAGCAGACGGAATAAGAGCAGGAAACGCGGGACCTGCCGATGGGAGCGAAGGGTTGCAGGGTAGAGCTGTAGACAACCAGAGCAGGACTTTTGCTGTCCCTTAGTTTACTGCACTTTATTTCCATGCCTGCACGGGACACGTGGCATCCCAGTGTGCTTGAGCATGGGATGTGCCTCAGTGTGACTAAGGTCAGCAAGCTTTCACTCAGCGGTGTTACTCGGAGATCGCCGTGCTAGCTGCGAGCCACCGTTCAGCAGAGCATCGGAATTCGTGTGCTGCGGAACTGAGTGCCTCTAATTGCACAGCACCCTGGGGCTCAGCCTGCCTGAAATCCACTTGGCACAGTTTAATTTACATTAGCCACTATTGTTCGTGTCCACATCAGGCACCATTGTTCGCGTCCATATTAGGCTGCTGGCTTCCAGGGCCGGCGGAAACCACAGACGGTCTCTCAAGTGCTCTTGCAGAATTTCTCCCAGACTGATCTGGGCCTTTCTTTTCATTTCCCAGAAAAACCGCTATGAGATTTATGTCAGCCTCCTGAAAGAAGGAGTGAAGGAGCTGCTGAGTGGAGGAGAGAACGATGCGCCAGGACTGAAGAAATCCCACTCAAGTCCTTCTTTGAATCAGGAGTCTCCAGTTAGTGCCAAGGTGAAACGCAATGTCTCGGAGAGGAAGGACTACAGGCCAGAAACACCCAGCATCAAGCAGAAGGTCACTTAGGGCGGAGATGACAGCGAGGGGAACAGCCATGCAGCAAAGTACCGGTGGTCAAAATTTTTTTTCATTTTAATAACCTGTCATTCACAAAAAATAAGTGCATCTGCCTGAATGGGGTGTTAGTGACATTTTCTATTGTATATTTTGCTGTTTCTGTGCAGATTGTGGGAGATGTCTTTGCTCCTGCTTTGCTTTGCTTTGTTGATTTATCATTTAGCAATTGAAGCATCGGGACTTTTTTATGTTGTTCTGTTTCTAAAGGAGCTGGGGGAGGGGTAGAGCGCTGTGACGTATATTCTGTCTCTTCCCCGTTTATCTCCTCCCATCGGCATGTGGCTTTCATCTCTCAAGTCACTTGTCACTTTATTTACGTGGTGGGTGGGAAAAATAACTGGACAAGTGCTGCAGTGCTGTGAATGTAAGCTGTAGCTGCGAGAAAAGCTGTGCAGCTGCAGAAGCCTGGCTAGAGCCTGGGGTGCTGGGAACACTAGTTTCCTGTCAATGTGGGGCATGGTACTGGTACTTAGCAGCAGGTGCTACAGTAAATAGTCACTGTTGCTTATTGTTACTGCATTGAGGCTGAACCCACAAGTGTGAAGGAACGAAACCTGGAAACCTCTGGCGATGCTGGGATGACGGCATTGGAATAATTTGTTTGCTTCCTTCCAAGCAAAGTCTTCTCCTGAGTTTGCAGGCTGGAATGCTGGAAAGGCTGGAAAGCATCCAAACCCGTGCTGTCTCTGCTGTCACGGAGATTAGGGTTTACCCAGCTGGAATGACTCTCTGGGTTTTACATTTATTTGCGGAGGAGGCTGCTGTAGAATCAGCCATTAGCATTATATGTTAAAAACAAAGGGCCTCTGTGTAGTTCTTAACTATACGCTCTCACTTAGCTGCTATATAGAGCCTTATGATATATTGTGTCCTGTTGCTTCCCCTTCCAGGAGTTTCCTTGTTGGTGTGCACGGAGAGCTTCTTTCGATTCCTCTGATAGTGACAAAGCACTTTGTCTTTTTTCTTCAGGAAGGGATTCTCCTCAGTTCTTTATTTTCCTGCTTTAGCTCACGTATAGGTGGAAGAAGCTGGTGCAGAGCAGAGAAGGGGACAGACATGTCCTTTTTGCAGACCAGGGTTTGATGCTGTCCTGGCTACTCTGTGCCTGGAGGCCAGCACAAGGCAGCCTCAGCTTTGTCAGGTCGTACCCTCCACCCACAGAGAGCAAGCCCTGCTCACAGATCCTGCATTCCCTCTTCCAGGCTTTCAGAGGAGAGTGCAAGACAGGGAGACACCACCATGAGTAAGAGCTTTCCATACCTGAAAGCCCACAAACCATTGGGGTGGCCAGCAGTTTTCAGGCATAGAGAGTAGAAAGATGACATAGAAATTATTTTCCTGCTTCCTAGCCGCTCTTGCCTGGTTCTCCTGTTACTTAACATCCTGGGTTTCAATCTCAGGTCTGATACTGGCTGACAGGGTGAGCTTGGGACAGGTCTCTCCCATTTTGACTCACCCTTTTCCATTGTGGAGTAGTACAGCCAAACTGGCCTTTCCCACAGAGTACCTTGGTACGTAATGTTGAGGACCATTTGAAAATTGTTTCTTGCTGTTATTTTTGTTGTGCCTGGCACAGGACAGCCTTCCTGATGGATGCAATTCTTAATGTATATAGAAATGTCAAGATCAATGCAAGGACTGTTTAGAAATGCGCTGGTGTTTCCAGCCCAAGTAGTCGAAGGGCCACACATCAAAAAAAATTGCCACCTGAGTGGATTTGTGCTCTGCCAGACCTCCCAAGGGTCCAAGTCAATTAATCTAGCTTATTGAACTGCCAGTTCAGTGGGCGGAACTGGGAGCGATCAAAGAGAAAGGCCCTTGACAGACACCGCATAACTTGCCTCCCCCGCTGAGTGCAACAGCTTTCCCAGTGTTGTGCTGACTCTTGGCTGTAACGAAGGTTTTGCGCTTTCAGGTGCTGGGAGGTTTGGGAGCAACTTGGTCCTTGCAGCTGCAGCCTGGCAGCGGAACCAGATGGTACCATTTTCATAAGTGATGTTGGGACGCATCCGGCATCTGCCACTGGGAGTGGCCACTCCATGGTGAAAGTCGTGATGTTGGCCCTAACCTTGGCAGCGTTGCGAAAAGCTGCAGAAGTTATTCATTCTTACTAAGGTGGAGTTAACATTCAGTCCTCCTGAAGGAGAGAGATGCCTACTGCTGCTGGAGCCAAAGGGATGTGGTGCAGCTTGTTGGGGTAGGGAGGCTCGGGGTAGACAGGTACATGATAGGGTTTATTGGGAGGGATTATTTGCATTAATTAAGAGTGGTAGATCAGCAGCTCGTGGAAGGGAAAGAAAAGCTAGATGTCTGCAGCTGTTCATCATGCTCTAGAGGTTTAAAACAAACGAGTGGAACAGACAGAAGAAGAAATTCGTTTGGGGAATGCCGAATGCGCATTGGAGAAGAAAACTTGACCTGTCTGTTGTGGTTTAGGAATGGTATTCCCCAGTTTAGTGTTCCCACTGAGACTCTCCAAACCACATGCCACTTGCTCACTTCCCCCTTCCCCTCCCCTTGCAGCAGGCTGAAGAGGAGAACTGGAGGCATAAAAACGTAAAGCTCACGGGTTGAGATAAGACCAGTTTTACTGGAAACAGCAATGAGATAGGAAAATTAACAGTAACGTCAACAATATCAATAACAAAGTAGACAAGAGAGGGAAACAATTCACAGAGGAAAGTTCTCCAGCAGAGCCTGACAATACCTGACCTCTTGCCCATCCCTGAAAAATGATGTGGGTGGTATAGGATAACCTCCTGGTCCTAGCCGTGCCCCCTCCTGGCTACTGCAGAAATTAACTCTGTCCTGGCCAGAACCAAGACATTGTCTTGCATAACAATGTTGGGACGCATGCAGCAGAAACAGAACCAAAAAAATGCAGATCTGTAAATGGGCACTGCTAGGCTGTCAGGGTGGGGGTCACTAGAGGATCTTTTTGAAGGCAGGCTAGAACATGCTTAGCAGACCTCTTGTGGTTATGGAGTGTAGTGGTTTAAACGCCAAAGAAGTGACATTTGACTTTTTTCCCCTCTGGGTTTTGACATATTCTGGTTGCTGTAGACTTCAGTTAAATTGCTGAACTCAAAAAGAAATTACTCCTGTTTAATGCATTTTCCAGCTGTGACATGGAAACTATCAAAGTCATTGCAGAGAAGACAATTTGAGTCATATGAAAAATCAAAAAGTGAACTGCGAAAGTGATATTTTTTTTCATTATTTATTCTCTGTTTCCATGTATACTTGTTAATGGATTAGATTATATTTTTAAATCTCATCTGGGCTTATCAAATGCAGTTTTTCACTGCATTTTTTAGTCATTTAACCTTTGTTGATCTTGGAGTACTGTTGGTGAGACTGCTGAGGCATGCAGATTAGTTTACCCAGAATTTGTAGGTCCTGCTCAAGTTTTAATTAATACCATTTTACTCTGTTATTTTACAATCTGTAAGCATCCCAGGCACCCGTGTAAAAATGCGCATTTTGGAGGCCAAGCAAAAAATGTGATTCTGTTGTGGAAGGCTCCTGTCCTCCCTTGGGAATAGGATCATCTACCAAGCAGTACTGCAATACCTGATGATATTATACAGAGTGGAGCAGGTTCTCAGGAGGTTTCAGCAGTGCATCTCCTTGGGTGGCAGCACTGAGGGTGTGGCCAGGTAGCTTTGTGTGGTACCCTCCACCTTTCCCTTCTTTGCTGAAGCGTTTGCCTTTAGGAGAAATCAGTGCTCGACCTCAGCGACTCAGGACCTTTGGTTGTAGTAGGTAAGGATACTCTGCTGTTTTCCAGCCCTCCTCTGGGACTCAGCACGCACCAGAACTGCGTTTCAGTGAGCAGCCTGCAGCTTTCTGGGGGTGCTCAGTGTAAGCAGGGAGCCTCCACGAGCATGTGTGCGTGCAGGCGAGCCTTTGCAGTGATGCAGGGAGGCGTCGTCCTTCCCTGTGAGCCTCGCTGCTGCAGTGTGCAACCATTGCCCAGGCAAAGCCTCTGCCTGCAGGCTGAGAGGAGGGGTGCAAAGAGGGGAGCAGGATGGGGCCAGCAGCTCCTCACTTCCCCCCATTTCATGGTGCAAACAGTGGTTCTGGAGGAACCCAGAAGCATTACTGGTCGCTCACCCTCGAGGGGCTGAACCAACTTCTACCCCCAGCTAAGGAAGGAGAGACAGGACAGGGCCTCACTGATCCACACCTGAGAGCAGAGAGGTGAGGGAGAAGGGGAAAACTGCCTTCCCCTCTCCCCACTCAGCAACCAAGGAAGGTGAGGTACTCTCCTGAAGCCAAAACCACTCTTTACTCCGTGAGTCAGCAGGATGCAGGGGTCTGGTTGAAGTGGTTTTCATTCGTCAGTGGCTGCGAAAGAGACTCTCTGGACTGGCTGTGTGTTTGTGTGCATCTTGCAGATAAATCATGCATGGACCAGTGAACATGACTACAGCTTCTAAATCCAGTATTTATGTTGTGTCTTTAATTGATGTAGAGAGATAAGTCATCCAGCAGAGTGATTAATGCGGCAGAGCTGTGGGGGAACGCTGTTCAGCTGCGACGCCGACTCAGGCAGTTTTTCATCTGTAGCCAGTCACTTGTAAATGGTTACCACAAGCTTTCTAAGGGTTAGTAACAGCTCATTGCTCTGATCCCACGTGCTCTCAGTCTGTCCACGTTAAGGGGCTCTCCTGGAGCGCAGTGCTCAACGCAGCCATGGTTTGAGCTGGAGCTTGGCCTCGCAGCCCTCCCGAGACTGGAATTTTTCAGTGGCTTTGCACAGCTCCAGTGCATTGAAGTGACAAGGCTGGTTACTCTTCTGACTTGAAACAGCCAAAATTTTTGCCTTTCTCCAGTGGGGAAATGAGGTTGATTAGAGCAGGCCGTTCAGTGAGGAGGTGGTTGAGGCAGTGGAGAAGGCTAAAGGTGACAGGGTTATCACCAGGCTTCTTGAAGGCATTGTGTGGCGATGTTCTCCTTGAAAGTGGTGAAGGCTTTTCTCTGCACATGGCATACTGCTTACTGTGTCTGCATTCTCCATTCCTAAATGAATTTTGGTCTTATTGCAGTTAGTCTGACAGCTCCTCCTCCTTTTCTGTCAAGCTGCTCCTGTCTGTCATCTTAGCACCTCAGCTGCTTCTGTATAACAGGTCTGTTTCCTTCCATGCTCGCAGAAATCCAGAAAATTTGGCTGTCCCGTCTTGCACTGAGAAAACCTGCTCTGAAGCAGTGCTGCTGCGTTGAGTGGATAACCCCGTGAACAGCTTTCTCGCTCTGCTTGTCGGTAGCCTGTGTTTCCAGCCACAGTTAGAGCTGGGAGGTGCGAGACCGAGTTTTAGACTGCCGTGATCCTCCAGTGTTGTTCTGCAGGGATGCAAAGTCCCCTCTCCCACGCTCAGACCAAAACACTTGAAACATTCCGAGTCTTCTAGTATCCAGGTTGTTGGAAACACTGTCTGCTTTTGCAGAGGCAAAGGCAGCATACACAGCTTACGTCAAGTAGTCTTTCAGCTTGATGCTTGTTTGAAGTTTACCCAGTATTGCTCTCCCCGGGCTCTGGGACATCACATTTGCTCTGAGAGGGCAGTTAATAAGTCCACATTTCTCACCAGAGCACAACCATTGCTCCCCAGCATGTGTTCCCAGCATGTGATACCTAGGCTGCCTAGAGGGATGAACTGTAGAAGCTTTTACAAAAAGAGCTAGTCTGTAGCTTGTGCTTTTTAGAGGATATTTTTAGTATGTATAGGATCAGTATGCCTGGCCTCTCTTCTCTCCCAGCAGCATCGGGGTAATACAGTGAGTGGCTTCACCTGGAGCTTCACGGTGGGGACCTGAGCTCCAGGAAGCCATCAGAGAAATGGCACCACCTGAGCTGAGCAGCAGTGCTCACAACGACAGTGATTCTGTAGGAAGGAAATGAGCCAGTGCCACCCTCCACGGCTGCTCACCTGCTGGAGACTGTGTGCTCAAGCGTGGCCCTCAGTGCTGGGGGTTATTGGAAGCACTGTCTCCCTTTTCCCTCTAGATTGTGCTGCTTGAGGAACTGTCCCTACCACCTGCTGCTTTTCTCACTTTGTGACAGCAGCACCCTTATCCAGGGGTGCCAGAGTCTCTTTGTGAGCAGACTGGTTTATGTGAGAGCGAGGAGGACAGGTCCTTGGAAGAAGTGTCCCAGTGCCATCTGGGAGTATCTGCTCTGCTGATGGCAACATCCAGTTGAACAGTGAAAGCCTGAGACCATGTCCCTTGCTCATACCTTTTGTTAACTGCACTGAGGTTGTATTTTAGGTAGTTATTAGAGCCCTTGCTTTACCAAATGCAAGCAGCAGCTTTCCCAAAGGCTGCACCATTGACCTGACTTTGCTCCTGTGATCAGAAAGACCCAATTTAGGCCAGCTCAAAGCATTCTCTCTTCCTCCCCTTTGAACACTTAGCTATTCCATAAAAATGATAAAAGTTTAAAGAATGAGGGACCTCCCATGGCATCTGCTATTAAATCTGGGCCAGGCACCAGCTGCGGTACAGACCAGAGGTTTATTTGGACCAATAAACCATACATCACTTAGCAACGCAAGGGTTGAAAGCGCTACAGACTACGAGGGAGTGACTTTCCTCTGACATAAACTGTCGTAATTAGTAGCCACTCTGTAGCAGTGATCTTGTCTGTAACTCACCTAAAGGAGACCATCACAGCAAGATACTTTTTGTCTAAGCAGGCAAGTTTTCAGGTAGAGCTTAGTGGATATCATGGCGTAACCACAGAGCAGCCAGCCAAGCTGCCATGGAGACTTGTTTGACACCAAATCCTCTGACTCCCCTGAGGCTTTTGCTGGGAGAAGGGGGATCAGTGATATGGAGCCTGTGTCACTGCATAGGGCAAACTCTATTGGTAATATAAGTCTTAATTCACTTACACTCTTCTGGAAACCTCATGCTCAGTGCTATCAAATTCTGAAAGACTGTAGGATGAGAACAGGGGTGGATTGTGGTTCGGGTTTTTTTAAATTTGTACATATTCGTGACAACTATGTGCTCTTACTCACTACTAGGATTATAATTTGGCTGAAAGAACAAGAGTTTTTTGGGGAGTTTGAAAACTTTGAAATCACTGGTCTCTGGGTGAGGTACACTCTGAGGCTTACATTGCTTGGTGAACATGTTTAAGTGATGCCTATAGATGTGTGTATATATTTCATAGGTATAGTATGGCTTCTGTGGCACAGCACTTCAAAGCCTGCTGTTCTTTTCTGAGGCTTGTTTTGGTCAAAAGCACTTCAGCAGCTGCAAACATTATTAGGATGCTCGTTGTTCTAATTGTTCACAAATGAGGTTAAGCAGTCATCAGAGCTTTCGCAGATTTAGGGTATCTCTTGAGCTGCCTTGATCTCCATGTGTTGTCCACCAGAGGCTGCCTGTTGCTCTGCATGTTGAAAGCAAAGGCATACATTTCAGAGTCTTAAGCGTGGGTTAGTGGGTGGGATTTTCTGCCAGCTTAATACTAGGCTGACTTCCTCCCTCTTTGTATCAGCCAATGCCTACACCGGGAGCATCCGTGCTGACTTCTGAAAACCGTGCTCTGGGGATCTAATACACAGCTTTACTTCTGAAAATGTTGACCTTGCTCTGTGAACATTCAGCAAGGGGACATCGTGTCTGAAATTGTCCAGGAAGGACAGGTGCCTGTGATGTCTTCTGCAGATACAGCCGTACAGCAGTATTGAGGGTTTTTTTTCTGCAGCTGTACAGATTTCTAGAAGACTGGCTCATCAGCAGGGAAAAGAAGAGCAGCAGGGCTGAAATGTCTCCCTTGGGCATCTCATATACCTCCCAGAGGTTTCCCTTGGGATCTTTGAACAACCTATTAAAAAGTTACTGGTCTGAGTTAAAAGATGTGAGGAAACCCAGTGGGTTTTCCTGTTGTGCTCTAGTCAGGGCAACACTAGCATGATCTGCATAATATAGAGCAAAGCCTGAGGGTGTGATTCTTACCTGGAGTCATAAAACTCTTTCGAATGCAGTTAGTTTGAAGCACTTGAGCAACTTCAGTGAACCTCTGCCTTTGCAGTTCACTGGACCACGGTCAGAGTGATCATGTCTTGGAGAACTGAGACACGAGTGAACTGCAGCTCAGAATGGTATGAAGGGGGACATCCCCGTCACCTTGCTTTGGGCAAGCTGTAGTCTTGTAATCCTTTTTCAGGCAATGAGCTTCTCCCTTGGGTTTCCTGCCTCCCATGGTGATGTAGTGGGAAGATGTGGGTGAGCACTGTTGCACTCAGAGTTGCAGTTAAGAAGCATCATTTACCTTCCACCTGAGCTGTTGCAGTGTGGCTTTCACTTAGGCTGAGAAAGAGGATCGAATTTTCAGTCAATGTTGCATGGCAGCCATACAGGAAGCATAACTCTTGGCAGTGGTAGTACAGAAAAAGGTTTTGCACATGCCTGTACATACACCCTATACATCTCTTGTGTGCAGAACCAAAGTTACAGGGCCTGACAGCAGTCCTTGCAAGACCTTTCCTCTGGGTGGGCTCCTATCCCTTTTTGCAAAGTGTAGGAACCTTCTTTCTGATAACCTTGAACTCAGTTTACTCTTGTTACTGAATTGCTGGAGTGTTTTTCATTCAACACACTAGAGACGCAGTCCCAGTCTCACTGCTTTGTGGTAACTTCTTGGTCTGCTGTGAAGCAGCATTGAAGTAACCACCAAATCTTTTCCAGCAGCCTGGAACTTGCTGCTCTGACTCTTGGGGAGGTCATCATCTCAGGTTTGATGTTGTCCTACCACCAGGACACCCTGTTTTGTCCCTGGGAACATGCATGGCCAGAAAAGCATACTTGGCAGGTCAGAGTCAGAGCTGTGCAGACTTAAGTCAAGCCCTGGTTCATGGGAGATGTTTCCACGTGCTGCTGATGTCCGTAAGGACTCAAACATATACTTGCTTACACAGAGATGCTTTCCTGAAGCAGAGTTGTCACTCTTTTCTACAGGTATCATGGGATGCCCTCCCTTATTCTGCTTCATATATCTGGTACTAGAATGATCATTTCCTGGTAAATGAAGGCACTTAATCAGTCCTCTTCCCCTTGGAAGAAGGACTTTTGGGGATATTGTTATATCATTTAAAATAATATTTTGGAATTTAAGTTTACATTGCTTTATTTTTCACTTGAGGTGACTGTATATAAATATTTTCCTCTATTTTATCATTGCTGATAAAGTAAGCCTACAGTATACAGACAAATAATTTGCCTTTGATGTATTGAAACTGTGAGATATAAAGTAGACTTCTCTCGTGTCCATGTTCCTGACTATAACTCTGTTCCTCTGTGTTTTTATAAGTTGGAATAAATGTTGCTTACGGGCAACAAAGAGCCTGCAAGCCTCCCAATAATTTTTATGTCATTGAAATCAAGCAACCCTATTGAAGGATCTCACATATGTATAATGATATATGTATATGTACAAACTTTAGAAAGAAATAAACCAAATGTATTTCATGTTCTGCAGTTGAATGGGTTTTTTTGTCTGTTTGTTTGTTTGTTTGTTTGAGCCCTGACAGTTGCTTCCTACAACCAAGAACTCCACGGTGGTTTTACGACCACTGCCTGTCCTGCTCGGGGAAGTTACAGACCAATAAGTTGGTGCAGCCTTTTCCCCAGTGCACCCTCCTGGCTTCCATCAGTCAGCAGTTTCAGGGTTTCCCGAGCTGGAGCATACTCTGTGCATTACAGAAGCACCCCCACAGAAATGTACAGCAAGTGGTCCTTACTAAGCAAAACTCGAGAAGAGGCCTGAGGTTGGGGCAACCAGCAGAGCCCAGGGTACTGCACGCACATCAGTCCTGTGTGAGGGCAGCTGGAGCATGCCTGTCCTCCTTTTGCTCATGTACAAAAGAGGTGGCATTCCTTCCAGCTGTTGCAGGGTGTGTAGCCGGCAGAGTCACCACTGCTTGCTGTAAAGAGACGGCAAGAAGAGACTTAACCGATTAAAAATGGGTTTCCCGGCACGTGGGTTGAAAGAGGGAGGCTGCAGCAAACAGCTGCTAAGAAATGATTGGGAGTTGAAGTTTGTATGAGATAGTTTGTTTGAGGGCCCTGCTGAGGCTGGGAATTGCTGTCGATTTGGTGGATGGGAAGCAAGGACCCGTGAAAGGCAGAGAACTCAGACACTAAAGGAAAAGGTGCAGTGCCAAAAGGCGGAGATGGGAGTGGTTAAGAAACTGGGGCTGTGCAAAGTGAGAGGAAACAGTCTGTACAACACACAGCAAACAGCCTTGTGCCTGCAGTTCTTGGGTTGGACACAGCTCGACATGGGAAGATAAGACGCTGTGTGGAGGGTGAGTAACACGGCAAACGAAGAGGATGTGTCCAACACAGGTGGGGCATGCCCAAGCTTTACAACAGGGCCAGGAGCTTGTACCTGGAGACAGTAGTAAGGAAGAAATGTTGTTTCTTACCAAGATTTGGGTGAATGTTTGACTACCTTGAGATGATTATTTCTTTGTATTTTTCCTCCTAGAGTCTCAGCGTGTTGCCTTCAGATGAATGGCAAGACCTTCAGCACTCAAGATAGTTACATGCTTGGGGTTGTTTTCACACTATGCCATGGGATGTCAGAATTTTTTCATTGCTGTTCCATCCTGGTTACTTCAAAGCACTCGGGATTTTTTATTCCCATGCATGCTCCTGGATTAGTATGTCTTTTATGAAAAGACTAAACAAAGTGGTGGTAAGGATGGGTGGGAGTATTTTATAAAGATGTATTAAATGCCTTCTCTAAGCCCAAATGAATGTTTGAACTGTATCTGAATGTTAATGTCAGTGCTGCTCACCACATCTTTTCTTATTTTGTCTTCCTAGCTGACAGAGTCAACACTGAGCGTCTTCTGGTGATTTTTCTGCCTGGAATCATTAGTCACGTCACGTTGCTCACAATGCATTAAACTAGAACAAAATGACAGAACAGATGCAAAGTGAAAGACAGATGTATTTATATTCTCTTCATTGTCCACTTTCAGTTCAAGTTTTCAAGTACAGAATGTAATTATCAAGAAAGTCTGAAAGAGCTAGCTTATGTATGCAGGAGAAACCTCCACAGTCTACAGCAGCTACAAAAATCTTCTTGACTGTTTATAAATAATGTAGCATGAGAAAGTGACTTAGCCCAAAAGTGAGGCTTAACTTGGCCTGAAATTGTCATGGGGTTATCTCTAGATTAGAAATGAGAAGAAAGTTCTTACCCATCAGAGCACTGATGGACTACAGCAGCCTCCTAATCAACAAGGTAAGGGCAAAAATATCCAGTAGCTTTGGGGTATCATATGAGGAATGACCCAAGTTTTCGTTTGTCAGGTCACCACACACATGTTTCATGTTTGCTGCTACATGGATGTTTTTCAAAAGAAATTGCATCAGCCACTATGCTAACTATTTCTCCCAGGAAAAGGACCATCCTAGAAAATGTGAACTGTTGCACAGCATGCCAGGTTTGCTGTGTTGTGGTCATGTTCACTTTAGGACACCTCTTCTGGCCCCATTGCACAGCTGGTTTTTGGGTGGATCAGTACACAAATGATGTGGGTCTTTGTTTCGCTGGTCTTCACAATAAGACGCAGAGAGAAGGAGCTTAACTAGGTGGAGAAATCAAGGCCAAGTAGACTTATTTGCCTGGGAGAATGTGTAAGGTAATGTAATGCTGTTATGAACTGGAGATTTGGGAGGTTTTGGTGCCCTATACCCAGGAAAGGTCTATCGTAATACTTTATAAAGCTGAGGTTGCCCCGATAACAGCTTTGGGAACCCCAAACTTGGGTGCAGATTTTTCTGAATCTGGCCAGTGAGATAGTGGATAATTCCTTAGGAAGAAACTTGGGCAGGGAAAGGGAGGCACAACAGTGGCAAAAAGGTTGTTTCAAGAAATAGAAACTCAAGAAATAAGACATAAAATGAGGTAAGGAACAGAGGACAGGGAAACCTTCTGAAAGGAGGAGTGTAGGTGCTTACAGAGGCATCACTGATTTGCAGCCTGAGCCATCAGGACTCCCCATCTGGCTTTCCATCAGTACTGTGTCTGAGAAACTCTCTGTGAGAGGGTGGGCTGCAAAGGAATAGATTTCCACCATGGTGATAGGTCATGCAGAGCAGGGAAGGTGATGAATTTGTGAGTAGCTGATGTATGTGATTCATAAGATTTAAGAGCGTGAAATTAACAGCTTTATAATTGTGTGTAATAGGGTGGAAAACAGTATAATTGCAGATTAGCAGCAGTGGTGTGTTTATTTGATAATAAGTATATTGATTACTTGATAAATTGACCATTTCCTCAATAATGTGTTGCTTAATTACTGAAGTCTGCAATTTCCTACTATCAGTTACATCTTGGTCTTGCAACCTAAATGGAGGGAGTTGCTTCCTGAAATAGCAGTTGCACTGTGGGAAAGAACAGTTCCTACCTGGTCTTAACTTGCTTTGACCACAACACGTTGAATGACTTGGAGCACCGCAGGGATGTCTGTAGGAATATTTGTAAATATTTGAATTATGCCAGTGACCACAAGCCACAGGCTAAATAGGATGAGTCTTGGGAACACAAACACAGGAAAGAGGACGTGTTGGGAAAGCAAGGTCTGTGAATTAAAATCTCAGGGATGGAATTTTATAGTGCGCAAGCATTGTTTTTCCCCAGCTAACAACACTGCATGTGTAAAAGTACTGAAGGGCCTTTATTTTTACTGTCATTCTTGAAATGTAGGTGAAATGTACTGTACAGATGGCTAGAATTCTGCAGAAAAGAAAGCAGAATATAGCATCAAAGGCTGAAAACCCTGTGGAAAAGAAGATTGCAAGGATGATTTGCCCAAGGGGAGAGCAACCAGAAGATGTTTGAAAGCCAGAGACAAGGCAAAAACTGAACAAGACTGTAAAGAAAAAGCAGGAGAGGCAACTGAACAGTACACAGATTCAGTTAAAATTGGAAATGGCAGTGCATTAATAGGAAAGGAGCAGCCTCTTGTGAAGGTTGCCTAACCCCTCCCTTTATCAGAGTGCTCTTTTGGTGAAAAGTTCTCATACCCCCATTGTTTGCAGAGACATTTTAAACACTGTTGGGGCTGCCATGAGGTCAGGACATCATGCTGTGTGCTGGCCTTCAGGGAAAACTGCTCAGAGCTAGCCAAGGTAAATATTCCTTCCTGGGCTTTGTCGCTTAGAAGATGGCAGCATCCCTGGATCTGCGCTGTCTGCAGGATGGGGAGTGTCTTTGAAGAAAGGACAGTAAGAAAACCCAAAACCAAGCTGAGTCCCATTTTCCATCACCACTATGCTGAGATTGTTCAAAATATGCGATTTGGGTGGGTGGGTATTGTTTGTTTTCTTCTCCCTCAAGAAGATGTTTTTGTTCAGCCAGGAATCATCTTTCTGATCTGCCTCACTCAGAAGCGCAGTGTAAATATGGTCTGTGAGCTCACTGGAAGGTCAGTATTTTTAGTCAGCTTGAGTGACCTTCTCCTCTCTGCCCAGATGTCCAGTGTGAAAAAAGCACATACTCTCTTTTCAAGCTAGTTACAGCTGGGACTTGTTAACCAGGACGTGTGTCATAGAACTCTTGTTGGGGGTACCGCCTTCAGGATGGACGTGTGCCCTGTCCTTTGAGAAGAAATGGTTTTGATCGAGGCGATGACGGGGATGCTGCTGTGGGGGTGGGTGTGGAAAATGCTCCTGCCCAGTCAGGAGTGCATATTTGATACCCAGCTCATGGTGCACACTGCTTCTTGCCCCATTTCCTCCCATCCCAGCCTGAACTGTGATGGGCACCCCATAAGCACAAGTGCTGAGGCTGGGATGGATGGAGCCAATGCCATTAGCAGCATACTTACCTGAGTCATAAAGACACCAGCTGCCACACCCCTTGGCTTCTCCCAAAGAGATGCTCACCCATGGAAGGACTTTGCAGTGGTTTCTGCCTGGGGCAGGAATAATTTCCATGTCTGGCTGCTGGGACGGTTCTGTGGGGGCCTTGCAGCCAGCCAATGATAGCAATCATGGTGTAAAACCCAAGTCCTGTCACCACAGCCACACCCACGCTGCGTTTCTCAGGCAACTGAGGTGTAGGCGGAAGTTAGAGGTTGTAATTGTTTCGTGGGGGGGGGAAAAAGCCCATGCACACACACATACACATGCACCACACACACACACAGTTAGAAAATGAAGTGCTCTTTCTGTTTAGCTGCAGTTTCTGGCTGCACTTTAGACAAATTGTCAGAATCCGCATTCCCACTGGCAGGGAGCCAGGCTCCCTGGCACGCTGATTAAATGGTGTGTGGGTAAAAATGTAGGCAGATGATGGGGACCTGGTACACTGAAACCTTGGAGAGCTGCGTTTTCCTTCACTGCTGCTTTCTTCTCCTCTCCAGACTCCTTGCAGGCTGGTTTTCTGGCCATCCCTCTTTGGATCCGTTTTGGGGTCTGAACATCCAGCTTTGGGAACTGAGAAAGAGTGT